CAATAAAGATTTCCCCTCAGCATCTGTTTTATATCCCCATTACATCTTCTTCAATCATCAACTAATTTTTGGAGTATTTATTGTGTTCTGGGTACTGTCCTAGGCACTGGGATATAACCACAGTTCTAGTATTCAATATTCATTTTGTGTCTAATAAATCATTTTATTATTATCTTCTTACTGAATGTAAAAACCTTCATTTTCAAGCAGGGCACTGATGGATCATGCCTGTAATCCTAACTGCTTAGAAGCTGAGGTCTGAGGATTGTGGTTTAAAGCCAGCCCAGGCAGGTAAGTCAGTGAGATTTTTTTTCCCCATAGGTGGGTCATGAGGCCTGGGCACTGTTCCAGAGCTCAAGGAGAATGCTTTACCACTTGAGTCACAGAGCCACTTCCAGTTTTCTGGTGGTTAATTGGAGATAAGAGTCTCATGGACTTTTCTGCCCGAGGTGGCTTTGATCTGTGATCCTCAAATCTCAGCCTCCTGAGTAGCTAGGATTAAAGGCAGGAGCTACCAGCACCTGGCTCAGTGAGACTTTTATCTCCAGTAAACTACAAAAAAGCCAGAAGTGAAGCTGTGGCACAAAGAAGCTCAGGGACAGTATCCAGGCCCTGAATTCAAGTCCCAGGACTCACTCACACACCTCCACTACCACCACCCAAAACAGAAATGTTTCATTTTCTCTATCTGGATGACAGCAAGAATTTAAAAATATCACAAACACTTAAGAATTCTAAGTCTGTTATACAACTCTTCTTTATTGTAGGCCTCTTCCCTGTTGCAGCCTGCTTTTTGCTTCCCAAACTATACAGTGGATTAATGGTTTGGATTTTCCAGACATCTGCTACCGGTAGAAGAAAATAGCATTTCTCATATATTTTCCTTTTGTTTGTATATCAAGGGTTTTATTGGGGAAATGTAAAGTTTATGTTCAAAAAGTAAAACGGTTTTATTAGAGATTTCAATAGTCTATTAGATTAAAATCACAAAAGATTTTTGAAAGAAAATTGATTTCCATACTGAAATCTCCCTTCCTTGAGTAGGTACTCACATTACATAGCACTAAGAAGATGCTGGGAAAATCATGAGTTATTTATTTCATGTCAACTCAGGTAATACTTTGGTGATCAGTTCAAAATTGTCCACTTGATGCAATTGTTAAACTTGATTGAATAGACATCTAGGAGATTAATAATACAAATGTCTCATTAAATGTGCCTGTGAAGGCTTTCCAGAGATGACTGGCATGTGGGTCAGAAACTAAGGGGGGGGGTGGGAAAACCCACTCAGAATGTGAACATCACCATCCAATAAGCTGGGAGCCTGGATGGAACAAAAGCAGAAGAAGCCAGTCAGTGTGCACATGCTCCCTTCCTGTGTGGGTGTGTCTGTCAATGCTTCCATTGCTGAGGACATCAGACCAGCTTCTTCAACTCTTCACCTTGCATTATCAACTTTACAAAGCAATTCCTGACTTTCAGCCTTGGACTGGGTTGCATCATTGGTTGTAGTCTGAGAGTCCTATCTTCTTGAACTAAACATGTGTTACATTTTCCATCTCTCCATCCGGCAGACAGCCACTGTGTAACTGTATAATCTTTTTTTGGGGGGGGGTCTGGTCGTGGGGCCTGAACTCTGGGCCTGGGCGCTGTCCCTCAGCTCTTCAGCTCAAGTCTAGCACTCTACCACTTGAGCCACAGCACCACTTCTGGCTTTTTTCTTTTTGCTTACGTGGTGCTGAGGAATCGAACCCAGGGCCTCATGCATGCAAGGCAAGCACTCTACCACTGAGCCATCTTCCCAGACCCTATAATCTTTGATTATGTAAGTCAAGATAATAAATCCCCTTTTAGAACTGCTTTTTATAAATCCCTTTATTATATATAAACATACACACTAAATAATCACTTCAGACTTTCTTGTCTACTTTATAAAATATCAAATATATCACATAGTTAGAATAAATCCATGTAACCAGTACCTAAAATAAGAACAGAAACTCAGGCCCATATACATTCTCTCCATTCAAAACTCTATTTGCCCCTAGAGGGAACTACCATGATAATAGTTCAGAGGGAGCTACAATGATCCATCTAGGATCCATCTTTGTGTTCTTTATAGTTCTAAATTATGTCTATGTATCTCTAAGAAATAGTTTCAATTGATTTTGTTTTAAAGACCAAAATCATTCTAGACAATTTTTCATAACTTTTTCCTTTTGCTCAATATTGTATCTGTCCTCTGTAATCTTCCCTATAGCTATCTGTAGCTTGCTTATTCTCTTTGTTGTACATAATAGCATTGTATGAACATATGAGGATATATTTATTCGATTGTTGATAAATGTTTGGGACTGTTCCTATTCAAAAGCCTTTATGAACAGCCCTATTGTGAACATTTGTGCCCCTGTCTTCTTTAGTTATGAACCTGGAACAGTAGTTTTAGGTTATAGGCTCTGTACGCCTTTGTTTCTATTGGAAAAAATATGTAATTTCTAAAGTAGTTGGACCAAGTGACATTCCTGTCAACATTCTGTTTACTCTATAGACAATAAATACCTTTGACACTATAAGGGTAAAAATGCCATTTACTTCAGCTTTCTTTGGTTGCCATATATTCAGATGTTTAAAGGCATTTTTCTAAAGAAGATGGGTGTGCTTGTGTGTACCAGTCATCCCAGGTATAAAGGAGGTTTAAGTAAGAAGGATAGTGGATCCAGCTGGCCTAGACCCTACCTGAAAATTAAAGTGAGGGGAAAAAGGTCAGGGAGAGCTTGGGACATCTCTCAAGTGGCATCTAGCCAGTACAAGGGCAAGAGTTCACACTGAGCATTACCAAATATATATGTATGTATATTTTTTCCCTAAGGCACTAGAAGGGATATTTGTGTCTCTTATTTTGTCCTATTATATATAGATGGTTTATTCAGTAGTATGCCCTGAAGTTTCAAATAGAAAAATTGGTCAGTTAAGGTAAGATAAAGACACATTTGACTAAATGTCAAATGGGGGCTTGAGGGAGGATTGTAGACTTCTCAATTATTCTATTTTAAAGTGCCTGAGGGCTGGGAAGGTGGCTCAGTGGTAGAGCGCTTGCCTTGCATGCATGAGGCCCGGGGTTTGATTCCTCAGCACCACATAAGCAAAAAGAAAAAAGCCGGAAGTGGCTCTGTGGCTCAAGTAGCAGGGTGCTAGCCTTGAGCTGAATTGCTGAGGGACAGCGCCCAGGCCCAGAGTTCAGGCCCCACGACCGGACCCAAAAACAAAACAAAACAAAAAAAAATAAAGTGCCTGAAAGTTAATAAATAATGAGAAAGTGAATATCAGGATGTGCAGATGGCTGGGAGTTATTTTCCAAGCAGCCTCTTGCGCAGCCCCTGCCCTCCAGAAGCTTACAGTAGAGCTGAGAAAGTATTATGGAAATAGTGGGAAATGGGGACTGCCAGCCACATCGTGTTCCTATTAGGGTGAATTTGACACTGACTTTGATTTTTCAGTGTGATTTGAAATACATTCCATACAGGTGTTCCTCCTCCCCTTCCATGCCAGACTAATTTATATAGACATATAAAGAGAGGCTTAAAATGTTTATAAAGATTCCTATAAACTCAAAAGCAAGCGGGGCGCTGGTGGCTCACGCCTGTAATCCTAGCTACTCAAGAGGCTGAGATCTGAGGATCGCGGTTCAAAACCAGCCCGGGCAGGAAAGTCCATGAGACTCTTATCTCCAATAAACCACCAGAAAACCGGAAGTTGCACTGTGGCTCAAGTGGTAGAGTGCTCACCTTGAGCTGAAGAGCTCTGGACAGCAGAGTTCAAGCCCCATGACTGTCCAAAAGAAAAAAATCAAACAAACAGAAACTCATAAGCAAACATGTTGGGTGGTATGCAAGTGGTTACAAATGTATGAACTGAAATACAGTAGATGTAAGGGAGAACTCAGTGTAATTCCCTAGAAAGGCAAAGTTAAAGCCCAACAAAATAAGCCTCAGGAAAGGATACTTGCAAAGGAGGAGCGGGAGGCAAGGGGCAAGGGATAGACCTCTGAAGTGGGGGAGCATGCCATGTATATACCACAAAGTTAAGAAAAGTAAGGGAAGGGGCAGGTGGGGATGTTGAAAGGGGTGACACAGGTCAAGATGCATTGTTTCCATAAATGGCTTTGTTAAAGGGCAACTTCGTTTGTATAACTATTAAAGATAATTTTTTTTAATTCCTGCTGCACGGTTGATCCATAGCTCCTCTCTCCTCCTTTTTTTTTTTTTTTTGTTTTCATTGTGTTTGTATCTAAACACAATGTCCATTTCCCACTTGCCCGCCAAGGCATTAAAGTAGGAGACACCTTTACCATAATATGAGCTATTTTCATTAATTCAGAAACTCAAGTTTCCCAACTCATCTACCGAGTTTTCCCCACGCTCCAAGAGAAAAAGGCTAACACACCGCTCTCTGAAAACGACCCAGTGATTAAATAATTAGCACACGGATCTACTGTTGTTTGCAATAACGCACATGGTTGTAAATAATCGCTATCAACGTATTCACTGCCATACCTAATTGCGACTAGTGTGCAACACCGTAACTGCTCTAGCGCCAAGTCCTGTTTTCACAAGGACCTGAGTTCAGGGCTGCAGACGCGGGCTCTTTTGTGCAGTTCCACCCCGCACCACAGGGGGCAGAGTAACTCTTTCCCGCTCGCGGTTTTCCGCTTTGCGTCAGTCTCTGTCAGAACCAACCAAGTCGATGCGACGGGGGGAGGGAACCCTGCCATAGGGCGGACCCAAGCCTGCTTCTCAAGCCAGCCTCCCCTCCAGATCACCAGGGACTTTGCACCCACACTGCGCGAGTGCAAGCAGTGGTGGCTGGTGACTAGAACAGTCTCCCAGCTCGTATGTCTCGAGGGTCTGGAATTTTCGCTCCCCCCGTGGTTGGGCGCGGAATGGTACATTCCTGCCGCCGGGCTCCCCCGGAAGCCGCCGCGGCCGGGGACGCCCAGTGCCAGCCCGCGGGCCGGGGCTGGCGGCGTCCTCGTGGTTCTGTGTGGTTGTGGTTCTTCCGTCGTCGTCCATGGGTCTCCATGGTGACGGCAGGGCCCGGACCCGGGGATCGGCAGCCCGAGTGGGGCCGCGGGGTTCCGGGGGCCTCCGCGGCGGCGTGGCCGTGTTCGCCGCCGTGGCCGCCGTGTTCACGCTCACGCTGCCCCCCTCGGTGCCGGGGGGAGACTCGGGTAAAGTACTCTCGGGTCGCCCCGCCGTCCTGGGCCCCTGCGCCGCGCGATCGCCGTGCTGGGAGGGGGTGGGGGGGCCCTGCTCCCGCCGCGGGGTCCGGCCTCCCGCCATCCAGCGGGGCTGTGCCCCGCTCCGGCACCTCTGGCTGCGGGGTCGGGGTGGGCGGGTGGGTGTCGCCTGTCCGGCGTGAACGACCGTCTCTCCCCACACCGGCCCCGAGGGCACCGTGTTTTCCCACCGGAGCAATACAGACAGTGGCGGGGCGTTGTCTTGGAAGAGGGGCTCCGAGCGGACACACGCGGGATCGAATCCCCCCCCCCCACGTGCTGGGGCTGGAGCCTTTCCGCTCCGAGGCTGGCGCGCTCCCGCCTGAGCCACAGCTCCACGTGTGGCTTTTTGCGGGTTACTGGCATCCCAGAGGCCTCACTGACTTTTCTGCCCGGGTTGGCTTCGAACCGCGATCTTCGGATCTCAGCCTCCTGGGTTAGCAACAGGTGTGTGTGTCCAGTTGAGTTGAGTGAACGGAGGCCGTGAGAGAGGGCAGCGTGATTCAGAAAGGTCAGGAAAGGTTTCCGAAGTGGGTGTGGTCAGAGGAAGCCTGGATCTCCAGGAGGACCCAGCCAGGCCCCCCCCCCCCTTCTCTGGAGGAGAACGCTTTAAAAAGCGGCCGCCAGAGGCAGTGTCAGGCGTGACTGGAGGGACGTTCAAATCCCACGGATCATTTCCCTATTTGACACCACAGGCAAGTTCCTGGGTTTGTTTCTCTCCCGGATTAAGTAGCCGCTTACGTTGTGTAGAATGGTGTGATTGCTTCAGGCCTGAATCTACGTCCTAGAAGATGAACCATCTTTGGACGCAGACAAGGCTAACCTATGTGTAGTGACTGAAGCACAGTGTGTGTAGACCAGAAATGTGGGTTCAGTTACTACTACTTGGGGGCAAGATGGCCGTGGGCTGAAGTTCCAACAGCCTCAGTTTGGGGAGCCTTTGATCTAAACTCAGGCTAGTTGTGGGCCTTACCATAAGGGAGCTGACTTCTGTCAAGAGAGAGGTAGGGCTTCCGCTGTGACACTTCTGTCACTTTGTAACTTAATCCTGGAAGTGATCCGCCACGGCCCTATTTGTGGGAGTAAGTCCAGCTCACAATGAAGGGAGGCAAGGATTACACAGGTAAGGATCAGAGGGGTTGGGATTATTGGGAACTGCCTGCCACACTGAGAGTCTTTGATTCTCCTGTCTTCAAGTCATCACCTTTCCTCTTCCTTTCAGCTCCTATAAAAACCAGAAAGGGTAATTAGTATAGCAGGAGATGGCATTACAGGCCTTCCAAGATTAGTACCAATGATGGGAGCAGCTGTATGATTTCAAGTACTTGGACATTAGAGTGCATTACTCTGGCACCTGTTAAAAATATTTATAGCTACTTAGGGTTATTTGAGCCTGAAAGACAAGGGAGGAGTGACTAATAATAAACTAACATTTATTGTGCACTTACTATTTGTCAGGCACTATTCCAAGTGCTTTTTATGGGTTTTTAGCTCTCCCAGCTAATTTACCAGGTAGGTATCATTATTATCTTCCTTGTAGATGAGAGATTGCCAAGACTTAAATTACGTGCACAGCCAAAGCTAGTAAGTAAGGGCTGCCAGGAAAAGAACCCAGATAAGTTGACTCTAGAACATGCCTTTTTTGTTCAGCAATATTGGAGTCTGGACTCAAGGCCTTGCGCTTGTTAAGCAGGTGCTCTTATCACTGAGCCACACTCTCAGTCCTTTCTACTTAGGAATCTTTCAGGTAGGGCCTCACATTTCCACTGGGGCTAGCCTCACACACCTCCTGCTATGGAAGTCCTTTTGCTTCAGCTAAGATTCTCAGAACACCATGCCACATATACTTTGTTTAAAATGGAATCTTGCTAATTTTTTGTCTGGAATGGCATCAAACCATGAACCTCTTAATCTTTGCCTTCACAATAGTTAACATTATAAGCATGAACCACCACATCTAACTTAGAGCCCTTCTTCCCTCCCTTCCCTCCCTGCCTCCCTCCCTCCCTCCTTCCCTCCCTCCCTCCCTCTCTCCCTCCCTCCCTTCCTTCCTTCTTTCCTTCCTGTGCCCCAGTCCTGGACCTTGAACCCTGGATCTGGTTGCTGTCCCTAAGCTTCTTTTGCTCAGGCTAGCTCTCTACCAAATGAGTGACAGCTCCACTTCTGCCTCTTTCTGTGATTAATTGGAGATAAAGAGTCTCGAAGTCTTTCCTGCTCTGGCTGGCTTCTAACGGTGATTCTCAGATCTCAGACTCCTGAGTAGCTAGGATTATAGATGTGAGCCACCAGCACCCAGTTTAGAGCATACTTTCTTAATATCTAGTTCTCGTCAATTTTTTTGAAATTCCTTGTTAAATTCACCATCACATGCGCAGTGATATTTAAAGTCTATGTTTAATCTGATGCTAAAAAGTAGTTATTTTTAATGTGTGTATGTTCATTTTAGAGAGTGATTAATAAACCTTTCCAACTATATGCCCATATGGAAAATTTGTTTGGTATTTTGATCACTTTGTTTATATGTTGAGTGTACTGTCCTTGAATGTTTCTGAATTGTACTTTCTATCAATAAACAGAACACAGCTCAAAACCAAAATAAAGCATGTAGTCTTCTTCTTAAGAAGTCAAGCTCTGCACCACAAATCCTTCACATCATGAGTGTGGCATTGCTGTCGCGCTACTTGACATATACAGTTCTTACCTGGGCATCAGTGCTGGGTCTTTTGTGGGGAAGGTGGGACTATAGCCTTCACTAAGTTCCCTATCTGTAGTTCAAAGGTAGTGTTGGTATTTTGTCGATCATGGGGCTTGAACTCTGGGCTTGGATGTTGTCCCTATGCTCTTCAGTTCAAGGCTAACACTCTACCACTTGAACCACAATGCCACTTCCAGTTTTCTAGTGGTTTATTGGAGATAAAATCATGGACTTTCCTGCCTGGGCTGGCTTTGAACTGTGATCCTCAGATCTCAGCCTTCTGAGTAGCTTGGATTACAGGTGTAAGCCACCAGTGCCTGGCAAGGTAGTATTTTTTAACAGAGCAGATCTATGTCAATGTAGTAATATGATTTAGTAAACATACAGAGGGGAGCTGGTTATATAAATTTTAGGAATCTTCAGACAAACTCTTGAGCTCAATGCCAATTTGTATCAAACTTGATACATTATGAAATTGCCTGGGAAACTGAGTCTCAGTGCCAAGATCTTACATTTAGGAACTTTGGGGTTCCAGAGAGGAGTCCTTCCATCAAAAGCAAAATAGCCTTAGGATTTAAGTTTGAGGAAGTCCCTTTGTAGAAAGTTGAGAAAAAGTAAGAACTCAGGAGGACCTGGGTTGGTTGGTTTGTTTTTACTACTTAATCTCTTAAAACTGTTCTGGACACAAAAAGAACCTTGATATCTAAGGTGCTTGTGAATATCTTCAGAAGACTGGAAAAATAACCCTTAATATAAGCAATATGAGGTGCCTGGGTGACCCCCCAGGGCTTCTGGAAAGGAAAGTAAGTTTCAGAGTAAGGAGGCTACAGATTTGATGTGTCCTCTTGTCAGCTCTATGCCAGAGGAAGGACAAGCAGTGATGTCTTGGCTGGATCCTGACACAGATAAGAAAATGTTTCTTGAACTTGGTGGAGAGGATTGAAAACAACTAGCCGGACTGTTATGCAGCAATCTCAGTAAGAGTGAAACAGAGACTTGGGCAGGTTCTAGGAAGGAGGAAGAAGTGATTGATTGTGGGGAAATAGGCTGGGAAAGGAGGTGTGTGTGAGGAGAGGTGTCATCAAGAAGGTGGGAAACGTGGCAGCCTGAGAAAATGAGTGATAAGAGAAGTGAAAGGGGTCACTCCAGAAACACTGGATAGTCAGATCTCATGGGGTGAGTGAGCCTCAGTCATGGATCTAAACCTGCCAAAGACACTTGGAAGCTATAGACTGCTTAACTGGTTCGCTGAAAAAAATCTGAATATAATTCAGTAATAGAGCAGCCACTGAGAAATTTCTGGATAGAGTCCAGCCCATTTTCTTTATGGTATGGGCAAGAGAGTGGCAGACACCAGTAACCAACTAAAGGACATTTGTTCATACTTGCTAGATGCAGGCCAAGGGAGGTAAAGTCCTAGTTAGAACTGAGACAGTAGAAATGAAAACCAGAATGTTAGTACTTATTGAAGGATAGGAAATGTATGTTAGTAATTTTCCCACTAGGTAGTTATAAGTTTCACAAATCAGTATTGACTGATGTCTTTCATTGTTCTGTTCCATACTATATGGAGATGACTCAAATCATCTCTGTGCTCAGAAAACTTAAAATATTAATAAACGGGAATTGAGTTATTACATCGTAGATTTTTAAATAACTACCAGCAATGAGGAACTTTATACATACAGACTAGAATGATCAAATGGTTGTTAAATGTAAGAGAAATGACTAAACAACCTGGAAGAAGATTATTTAAAAATGTTGAAATGTAACCTAATTAATGTAGGCCCTAAGTTACCCAGATACGAGTTATTAGGGCAGTATGGCACATTTTATGTGGGGGCTGGACCTCAGACCTCCGCAACCTTGTATATTATACGAGTGTGCTAGTATAGACTGTGCTAAATTCTTGAGAGAATATTACATGAATACTTTATTAAAGCATTTTCATATTTCCAAGTGGCTACAACCTTCAGAAGAGAAGAAATTAGCTTAAAAAAATGAGTAGTCAAGGTGTATTTCCACTGACCAATTATTGAGACCTATGAAAGATAGGTTTGTTCAAAAAGACCTAAGGGAGGAAGTATTCTTAGACTTATTTCATGCTGTTAAATCTCTACAGATTTACAGTTTTATCCAGTCAAATTAATGCAAAACCCCAATGCAAGCATTTGGATTTTGAAAACTTTGGAGGAGTGTCATTCTCTAATAGTAATTATTGGTTTTACATTATTTTTTCGCAGGGGAACTGATCACAGCCGCACATGAGCTTGGAGTAAGTATTAGTTTTATTGTTTAATCAATGCTCTCATTAGCAGTTTTAGGAATTAAGAAAGTTTAATTAAGCATGGAATAAAGTAGATTAATTTATTTCCAAACCCTAGTTTTTAGTAACTTATAAGTACAGTATGTGACAATTTACTTTAAGTTTTAAATCCAATTAAATGAAATTATAAAGCAAAGCCTTTACTATATATACAGTAGCTGGGCTTATTATCACCCCAAATTTTGTATAAGCCGGAGAGAATAAATCGGGTTAACAGTTTTAATAAGTTTATTATTTAATAAACTTTATTATGGTGTATGATCCTTTTAGTCAAGACCTTCCAACTGTCAGCGTGGTAAGTAATCCGATATCGGTGTGGTCTTTCAACTTTCTAACCAAGGCAATATTTCAGAACTTGATTTTTTTTCAATAGCTTTTTAAATGACCCTAATGTACTGTGAACCCAGAGAACAAACTGTTTAAAAACTGACAATGGAATATGTCTTTCTCTAAGTGATGCACCATGAGGTAGACACTGTCAAATCCACGGAAGAAAATATTTATTTGTATTGGCACAAAAGGATTACAATAGGAAACCACTATTCAAACATTTAGTCAATGGTGCTTTATCTTACTTCTTGCTTTAGAAAAGGGCCTCTTTTCCACTGACGCCAGCGTGACTCTTCTTTTCCAGTGAAAACTTAGCTTTTGCCCATTTTTCCATAGGTTGCCCATCCTCCTGGCTATCCGTTGTTCACCTTGGTGGCTAAACTGGCGATGATACTGTTTCCTTTTGGTTCTATTGCCTACCGAGTCAACCTTCTCTGTGGCTTATTTGGAGCAGTAGCTGCATCGTTACTGTTTTTCACCGTTTTCAGGTAAAGTAGTTGATGAATTAAAACTAATTTTGAGTAATTTTTGGCCAACTGCATACATTTTTAAAATAAAAAAAAGAAGAAGAAAGACCTCTGTGTGTTGCCTGAATGGTTTCTCTAACTTTTGTGATGTCACTCCCTTAATTTGCAGTAATTTCATATGCATTCAACCACTCAGATGGTTCCCCAGTTGGTTCTGCTTTGTACAATGGAGTGAAGGTGTCACCGGTTCATTATCACAGTTCTCTGGTTAGGCAGAACTAATGAGGTTTGTCATTTCATGGAGATGCAGATGGGCCAGTTTAATTCAACAATATAAAAGCTCATCTTTTAGTAAATGGTAAAAATCTTTTAATTACTCACAGCATTGCTGATGGACAGCTGCCTATGAGGCTGGGCCTAATGTCTAATTATATTGTATTCTAAATATGACCACCTTGGCTCCTTTTTAAAAATGAGGTTGTGAGCCAAGAAAAACCACACTTGGGAGGTGGTTTTAGTGAGGTTCCACTTTGAAATCTTGTAGCTTTAAGGAAGACTCCAGCCTTCCTTAGTGCAGAAGCTTCCAGCTTTTCGGTGGTCATTGGTTGAATACATTAATAAACTCATTTGTCTATGAGGTTTATCTCCATCTCAAAATGTAGTCAAATCTAATATAATGTTTAAGAGGATCATAATGGAAAATACAAATTACATTTGATGATGGAGAGGACAAAACACTAAAAACACTTCTTGCAAAAATTTTTGCAAGTGTTTTAATAAAAAAAATTTTAATGTAATTAAGTAAAACTTGAGTAGACAGAATTTCACATGTTAGTTTGGGGGACTAATATTTTATAATAGTCATAATATTGCCCTTGAGCTAAATTTTTTCTAAATTCTGTTTGTGTTATTTAAAAACAAGCAAAAGTTAACAAAAGTGTAACTCTGAAATTTACTTTTAGATCTATTTGTTGATTGTAATTGTTGATCATTTGTTAAATGTATGTGTGTTATTTAATTTGCTTATATTTAATCTTACACATTTTCAGTGACAGCTGAATCTTTAAGTATGAAATAGTTAAAGTAACGTTGCTGCATGGGTTGATTAGGGTTATGAATACATTCCTTTTCTAAATGGCTACAATGATTTTGATCAGAATTATTTTTCCTGAATCTTTTATAATTATGAAGCTGCTAGTATTATTTCATTGAAAAAACTTGCTCCTCATATTTTTAAGCATCTGGGTTGAACTTTTAACCTATTTTTTATTGAATATATTCACAAGACATTTTACGGCAGACATTTATTTATTTATTGTAAAGGTGCTGTACAGCAGGGTTACAAATACATAAGTCAGATAATGAGTACATTTCTTTTAGGCAGACATTTAATAAAACTAATTCATTTATTTTGTATTCCATCTTCACTTTAAAAATATTTTTCTATAGCACATATATATTTAAATGTTATGCAGATACAAATGTTCTTAGTTAAATAAAGTGACTCATTTTTAAAACTTGTTTGTCAAGATTTTGTTATGCCATTCTACATGAGAACCACTGTAAAAATATTACGTTAAAATGTTTTCAGAATCCAGATAACTTTGGACAATATTTTTTTGTGTGTTATCCACATTGAAAAGTAGCTTTGGTTAATTATTGTGCTTGATTATGTGAATTTTAGATAAGCCTGTGACCCTTTTCTTTTGATATACAGCATTGATGATAAATTTTTATACTTGCTCTCATGTTTCTAAATCAAAACTCTTAATACTGTCTGTTTGAGTGGTTTTAGTAATGCAGTACTTGGGAAAGTTGCTTTATTTCCAAAACAGGAACTAACAATATTATCGCTTACATACATTTTAATATGAAAATGTTTCATCATTTTGAATACAAATAACTGACAAGGTACACGTCCTTTGGGAACAACCCAGTTCAAGTGGCAAATCTGTTTTGTCAAACAATAGACACCCTTCAGAAAGGAGAAGCCATCTCTATGGTAATCGGACTAACAGTAGCCTATTGATTGAGTGGAAGAAGACATTATACAATGTCAGCTGGCTTGTTACAATTTCATTTGTTGTATGACCTAAACTTAACCTCTAAACCCTTTCTTCTGTGAATATAAACCCAACAGCAGGACACAGTTTGTGTACAGCCATTACAGTGATGGCTTTTTTCCAGTCCTAGCATCCAGTAAATATATTCCAATCCAGGTTGACTCCTTTCTCTGAATTTATTTAGGAGACATTTCACTACTTTATTCCTTTACAGACCAAATCATCATTCCATTGTTGGATGTTAAAGAGTTTGTATCCAAGAAGCAGTTTGATTCTTTCTTTCTCCCATCACTTAAGAGAACATTACTGTACATGTGGGATTAGTGCTGACTGGTGTGCAGCAAATTAATTCTTTTAACAGGTTTAGTTTTTTTTTTTTCCAGGTAATTGTGCACATAGCATTCACTATATTTAGCTCTTGGGGTGGACATAAAGACCTTCTGTACCTTTTAAACAAAGATTGTATTTCAAAAGCAAATTTCTGTTTAAATGTGTTGATGTAAAAGCTCCATTTTTTTTCAGTAAACATGACTTAGATTGAAAGAACAATTTATTCATTTCTCCCAATTACTATGTAATTTTTGCTTTTTCTTGCATCTTTCTCTTGCTTTTAAAAGCCATAAGATGTCATTAACACTGCATTTTTTGTCAATCTTTGCTAATGGTTGGCAAGAACTCATTTATATTTGCTTTGCCCTAATGTAGAAAGCATATGAGTAAAACAGCACATTGAAAAAGCTAGATGTGTCACTATAGCTTATTGAATTAAGAATAGTAAGATTGTGGCAGTTTCTGTATTTATTTATGTCTTGGGTTAGAGGAGTTTAATACATTTCATTTATATGAAATAATCCTCCACTTAATTAATCTGTAGATCTGTGTATTTGAAGAACTGTAATAAAGTTACTGTTTTATGGGAGCTGGGATTTTTCTCTTTCAAGGCCAGTTTTAAATTTGACAGTATGGTAAGTCCTATTTATAATTCACAAATCCCATTAATATAAAAAATTTAAAACTTACAGATACTGAGAATCACAAACATGAGCATCATTTAACTTTGCTTAATATTTGAATTTCAACATTATTTTTTAGGAAGTATCAGACTAGGTTACATGCAGTGAATTCAGGAAGGGTATTAGAGCCACTGTCAGCAAACAAGTTCATTTTATATGTGCCAAGTAGCCAGAAATGTGATGGTGACATTGTATAAGAATACTGTACCTCAGGGAAGGTCCAGCTTGCTTATGACCTCAAATGAAGACGTAAGTTGTATCACTTTATGCTGGCAGTGAGAGAACAGGCACTAAATCCTCAACAGGCTTGAGAATCAGCAAACTATTATCTATTTTTATTTCAAACTATTAGTAACATGGAACTGTAGAAAAATTTACCAACAGTGTTTGTTGAGACATCCTGTGAGTTGAAAATAAAACTTGTAGTTTTATGATCAAAATTCAGTGTTTATTTTAAAGAGAGTAAGACAAAGTAACCATTAAGTGAGTGGCTTTTCAGGTATTTTCTTCAAAAGGCACCATTTCCAGAGCTTAAATTAAAAAAAAAAAACAACAACTTAACACCATTAGCATTGTACAGAAGGAAATCAGACCTGTTCATGTCAAGGAGTTACCTAGAATACATGAATATTAATAATAGTCAAGGCTATATTAAAACTATGCCTGCTTACTACCAAGAACTTATAGTCAATTTCAGTAATACTTAAGTATCTTCGGGCAAGTTACTTTGTACCTATATCATATGCATGGAATTTTTGTCATTTCTATGTTAGGTATTTCTTAAGGTATTGCTACTAGAAATTAATTTGATTATAGTTTTGGAAAGCAATACTTGATTCCTGAACATTGTATCTGCTATTTCTACAGCTTCTGTTACGCTTCTATTCAGTAAAGAATAGAATATTAAAATGCCATACCTTAGAGAATGCAGAATCTCCTGCTTAAGAGACATTTGGATTTTCCAGCTCAAGGAGTATTTTTAGATTATTGCCAGAGAGAATAATGTAAAGTGCTTCCTAATTTTGAAGTAACGATGCATAAGTAACAAATAGTCTCCAAGTTGGTGTGTGTGTGTGTGTGTGTGTGTGTGTGTGTGTGTGTGTGTGAGTGGAAAAGAATAGAAAGTACTGGAGCATTAATTTCCATTCAAGAGAATATCTGTCTTGATCCCTGGTTAATTGATCATATATTTCTTTCGTACTTGTATTAAAATTGCATTGACTCAGCTTGGTTAAGCATATTAAGAGCCTGGTTCATTTGCATTTTCTTATAAGTAGGGGGACATATTAGGCTCATATACAGCACTTAATTTTGAAGGGAGAAAAGCAGGGCAGAAACTCTTTTAAGACTGTAGAGTTTTTTTCTGACAGCTAGTCAGAGTTAGAATTAGTTCAAGGAAATGTTAATAATGCACTGCCTGGCCTAATCCCTTTGATATCACCAGGTATCCTCCTGTTCATGGGTTAATTGCTTTAAAAGCGAAGGCAATATTCTGAGCGGTGGGCCGCTTCACCTTTTCACAGCTGTTACCATTGAGTGACAACTAAATCCCATGTGTAAGATGAGGAAGAGCTCAATCTCCAATTGGGAGAAAATTTATGTAAACCGCAATCCCTTCAGAATGTGCGGAAGTCATAGACTTTCTTGATTTACTCTGCTTTTCCCAGAAAGCTCTATTGTTCACTTTCCTAAGTCCCATCAACCCTTTGTAGCAGAATATCACAGCGGCAGCAGATAGCTTGAAATATATAAATGCTATCATAGCTCTGATTAATAGCAGTGCTTATGAGTCAAGTCTGATAACAGTGCAGCTCTCCACTCAATTTCAGATACTGCTAATGGAATCTGTCTTCTCCAATTGTAATATGAGAAGGCCTAATTTGCCATGGAGCTTGGAGCTGTCACCAGTAGGGGATTGTGGGGTCAGATGGGAGCTGCCAGGTTT